ATGAGTAGAATTCTAAGTAACGAATGGAATTATGTATGGGATATTTAATTCTTCTGCAATTGTAAATTTGAACACGTTCTATTTCATGTTTTTATACAACTCTGAATTTACTTTTTTTAAAAGTTTTTCTAAAAGAAACTAACAGAAAATATCTGACCAACAAGCATAATGCAAACTATATAATTTAGGTGGAATCAATTTCCGAGACTCCCTCATAAAAAAACATGAATTTAGTCAAAGCGTTTTTAAAACACTTTTTAATTAAAATACATCATAATTCAAACCCACTTATTTTTACAGGACATGCCTCCAAAGCCACCATATGTTTCTGTAACAGATCCGATATGGAAAAGCATAATTTATTTGCAAAATCTATTCTCAGATTTCAAAGATTTGTCCACGGATTGCCTTTCTAAAATACACATCACAATTGGAAAATTTAAGTTGGTACGTAATATTTTTTATGTATTATCATTAATACCCTTAGAGAATGACGACGTATTTTATGAAATAATAGTTTTGATTACTAAATGTTATTCTGAGATAAGCAAGGTCTCGTATATCTTCATGCAAGTTTTCCTCTTTCTCACTTTCATGTTGTGTTGGTCGTCGTCTATAGACCTTAAAAATTTCGTTCCAGTTCTGATCCTAGCTTGATGGGAATAATACGCCGTCATTTTCATTATTAATTATTTTTACATAAGTAATATTATAAACCATCATTTTTCAAATACCTGTATGAAATAACTGCTGTAACATATGGCATCTTTTAATCACTTGAGATCATTGAAATAAAATGCCTAAGATATGCAAAAAGAAAAATATTCCCTATAAATTAATATCAGTTAAAGGTTTCATATGGGTGTTATCCACTCTGCTTAAAGATACTACAAGGAGAATGAGGAGGTAAGCGAGGAGATACGCAAAAGGCATGCTTAGCAAAACTAGCGTTCCGTGTAGGAATCACATGTACAAGTGAAACTGTGTACCCATAACGGCGTGCTACCATAACATGTGATTACAAAATCAGAGTCATAGACACGTCTAATCTTCCCCTGTAGGCGAATGTGCTGCAGCTGCGATTATTTTACCCTCCAGATTTTAAGGCGTAGATACACCGTTGATAGGTTTCTGGTCTGGGGAGCAAGGAAGGCGGGCAAGGGATTACGAAATCGATTATCGACACTCACGCTGTGTGCAGACGAGCGTTCCCTTGCTGGAATATAGAGTTCTGATGCTTCTCCCGAGGAAAGCACACGTGGTTTCAGGACTTCCCCAACAAAGCTCTAGGTCGTGAACGTCTCCTGGATCACTACTATTGGAGATCCGAGCCATGCAAAGACAACGACACCATCACACCAGCGACTCTGAGTGGCTTCACAATGAACCTTGGAATTGCGCGCTTGGAGCTATGTCTTTGTATTCATTTCCAGACAAAAGTCGGATTCATCGCTGCACCTCCGTTCAAGTGTCCCCGCCTGGCGTTCAGAGGAAAAACAGCAGCTCTCGCTGTTGTGGGGTCAACGCGAAATCAAATTTTGTTCTGCTATAATTTGCTACTGTCAAACGCTTTATTCTTCACCGATGTATCACGTCTGTGGGCACGATTGTCAGCGATGACGGGATCGATACGTATTTGGCGGAAGATGTGATGCTCCTTCCACTGAGAACATCCGGATCCTTCCTGCCGCTTAACCCGACCATTGCTTCCAATGCAGTCCTACAGTGTGGTCGGATCGGCTTAAACAGCACTTCTTTGAAATAGCCTGCACGCCGACGATGTGACCTTCCTCAAATTCTCCCAGTAATTACAATACTCTCATTTGACTTCGACTCAACGAACTCAAAATACATTCCAAATCGCTAGCAACAAAAACGAACTCAAAACGCTCCGTGTAAAGCACACCTCCATACTACACCACCGCCTTGCGTCAACCACATCAGATGATTCACGATCGTTTACTTTTTTGCTTAGTGATAATTATCCCGTTTCGGCGAGCGAAGTGTTCGAACGTCGACATAGCTCCTATCCGGATAGTTAAACTTTCCGTTGGAGATATCTTCATTATCTCAGCTTATAAACCCCCAATAAACATCTTCCAATAAACTTTTTAAAACACATATTTAATACAAACTACAAAATACTTTTCATAGGTTATTTAAATGCAAAGAATACAGCTTGGGGTGTCGAATTCCTTATGCAGAAGGAAAAACACTGTTTAATTTAATCAGTAATTACGACAAGAATTTACATGCTCCACGTCAACCTACTTACTAACCATACAGATCGACAACTGATCCTGACATACTGGATATAATATTTTCCAAAAATATAAACCTAATAATAAATCAACTCTCAATACTAGCGTTGAATTATGATCATGACCCAGTTTTAATTAAATTCAATAAAATTATCCCAGAATTTAAATCAACAAACTTAATTATAACTGGTAAATTAAATTGGAATAAATTAAAAGCTCATGTTCTAAAGTTAGATAAATATGCTAAAAAACTACACATATCAACCGACACAGACTTTGCAATTACTAACCTTCAAATAATATAATTAATGCCATTTACTCCATTAATGCCAATTCCTTTTCAAATAATAATTTCACTCAAAATATAACACAAGAATTAAAAACATTTTCCACACAATGCCATAACAAATAAAATTCCTTTCTCCTTCTGAAACTACCTACTTAATTTCAAAACTCAAAAACAAAAAATCCCCAGGTATTGATCAAATTCCTAATTTCGTATGCTCCTTGAGAGCCATTTACAACGCCTGTTTACGCTTAAATTACTTTCCCGCTGAATGGAAAAGTGCCTTAACTTTACGTATTTCAAATCTTAAAAAAAAAAAAAAAAAAAAAAAAAAACACTCTCTAAACCTGAAGAATGAGCCGGGCGGGAGAGGAGCTTATATGCGCATAGCCAGATAGATAGACTGTGTTTATGGGACGTGCGAGGAAGTGTTTGGGGTTAGAGGCTGCCCCTTCCGGCGAACGCCGGCCGTGCTGGAGGGGGGGGGGCGGCGCGCTAGTGAAAGGGCGCGGCCATCCGCGCAAGGTGGAGGTGACGTCACGTTGGCGAGGGTTTTCTCATGTGAGCGGACGAGGATATTCGTCATAAAACAAACCAAACACACTCAAGCACTCAATCACAAGCTATCGAAGCATTGCCAGTAGAGGAAGTTGCTGACGGGCTCCATTGGATGTATCCAAATTAAATTATCAAACTGGAAATTTTAAGATACCTAACATGTTTTAACTTGCAGAATACTACTTGTTTTACCATCTGAAATCTGCATTATATTTTCAGATAGAATTATTCGTAAATAAATTAGCTCTACTACTTGCAAACCACATTTCAGTGACCTTTTTATTTGCATTATATTTTTTACAGATATATCTCGATATAATGTATTTCATTTTATTTTTAGGTTATTAATTTAGTCAAAGATGCTAAGACTGCTACGACTGACAAATACGACAACAACCTTGAACCGTTTTCCAAATTACTATTGATAAAAGCCTTGCAAGAAGAAAAGGTGGGTATAATACTAATTAACGAATTTTATGATATTAATTTCATTTATTATACGTAATCGTAGTACGGTGAAAATTACACAAAGCTGGAAAATACCGATGTTGATATTTTTAAGGAAATATTCTAAGGATACCGTAATAGTTGTTTATGCGTCAAGGGCGTTATAAGGGTTTTAATGATCGAGCGGGGACAAAACGCCTGAAGGCCTTTGGCCCTAGGGCATTTTGTCGCCCGAGGTCATTAGAACAAGTTAACGCCTGTGATAAATACATAATTTTACTTTTATCTATTTTTATTGATTCAGATTTACATATTTACTAATTAACTAGGTGTTAACTTGACCTGGTTAGTCTTTTCACATTTCCCTCCCATAGTTCCCTTTCATAATTCCCTCCGTAAACGAACATGTAGCATCATTCAACTGTTTTCATGTTTCCTTCGTAACCACGGTCCTTGCAATTCAGATAAGTTATGCAGCGTATATCGTACTCCGTATCGAAGGCTTTCACAAGCTATAACGAATAAGTAAAAAATAAAAGTATTTTTTGCAAACGTTTGTCTGTTTATTTGTCTCGGAGTGAATGCCGCTAATCTATTTGTGAAACACAAGAGACACTGTTTGTTGTTCTTTAAAAGAAATGATGATTCTTTCTGTTCTCTAACAGAAACACTGCGCTATATTTGGCCGAACTCGAAGCACTGTGAAATTAAACCAATCTTTTAATTTTTGGAGGACATTCATACGAACCCCGTAGGACCTGTTTTAAAATTTTCTTCAAAATGCTCCTAATATTTTCTTTATATACTTTTCTCAAATTAAGCAAATTTTGCTTAAAAAAATTGATATAGGTCTGATTGAAATTAAAACTTCAAATTACTCAAAAATTCAAGTGGTTCAGATGTTTTTGGAACATTAGTGAAGCAAGTGAAGTTAGTAAGTGAAGCAAGTTAATAAGTGAAGAAAGATTTTTGTTTCTTAATGTAATCGTTTCTTCAAGATTAGATATTTAAATTACTTTATGCATAATCTTTTTCAAAACATGAATAGGTTTCGTTCAATAAACTAACTGTGAGACAAATGGTGAAAATTTTTCAACAATGTGTTAAATCTAATTGCTTAAAAATATGCTCAAATTTCTACTATATATTCATCTGAACAGAGTAGAATGTACTGAATACCATGAGCTCCATTTTGATTAAAACTTTTGAATGAAAAATACCTACGGATAAAATAAAAATACATAGTACAGTATGGATTATATGGAACCTCTCGTTCGTTGTTATCTCGTACCTACCTGATTCATAATTTGATGCAATTGTGGGTACAATATATTTGTTTCACGAAATTTCTCGAAATCCCAAAACTTCTGTTGCATGCATTTTGCTTTATGCAACAGCACTGACCTGTTGAAAAAATAATGGTTTTCCACTTTCATCTCTTTTTTCAGATTGTTTTTGCCATGTCAGAATATGTATCTGTTTCACTTGGGAAAGAATTTATAGAAAGTGTGCAAGTAAACTTATCTTCCTTGTAAGTACACGGATAACTGTGGTGCAATTTTCTAATCTGCTGGAATAAAGTAATTATGAAAGTTTCACTCATGAAATATGCTTTTAGATATCAAGATACATCAAATACAACTCCTTTAATTTTCGTATTGAGTACTGGTTCAGATCCTTTTGGACAATTTCAACGTTTTGCTGCAGAAATGAAATATTTGGACAAACTTCAAGCTATTTCCCTCGGGCAAGGGCAAGGTCCCATTGCTGAAGGACTGATAAGAAATGCTGTGGGTAAGGGACACTGGGTATTTTTGCAGGTAAAAAATATTTTCATTCTTTCTCCCTTTCTTTTTTTTCACTTCCTCGTATACGTGCCTATGGGATAAGGAATGATATTAGTGTTGAGAAAGTTATGTAACACTGCAGAAAATCGATTTTCGAGGTTTTAACCGATATACACGTTTTGGGCCCTCATATCAAAAAGAGGTTTTACAATACGTCTGTCTGGCCAATACGGACCGTCCGTCGGTCCGTCGGTCTGTCCGTCGATCTGTGAACAACACTAGCGCATAAATCATTCACACGATTTTTGCTAAATGAATAATCTCCGGTGACTAGATTCGGTAGCTCAGGTCATCAATCGATGCCACTACAATGCCTCTGACGGGAGGAGCTAGGGTTCGAATTCCGACGGTGGCAGGATTTTCGGCGCTCGGTCGCAATGTCGCAAGGCCGACTTCTGACGCTGTCTGGAGGAAAATTCACGCTGCTGTTGCTCTAATTGGTAGTTTTCCGTGGTTTCTCCGATCAACACCAAGATAATGCCGGAATCCCTAAAAATGGACCATGGATCTCACGCACTGTTTTCTGCCTTTTCCTTGTTATTGCCTCACAGACACAAAGCGCTAGATCATCAGGTCACAATTGTTCGCGATGGGTTTGAGGGACGTTCTTAATAAATCGAGCGAACGATTTGGCCACTCAGATCGTCCGACATGAATCCCATCGAATATTTATGTGACATAATCGAGAGGTCAGTTCGTGCAAACAATCCTGCACCGCCAATACTTCAGCAATTATGGACGGCTGTCGAAACAGCAAGGCTCAATATTTCTGCAGGAGACTTCCAACGACTTGGTGAGTCCATGCCACGCCGAGTTGCTGCCCTTCGCCGGGCAAAAGGAAGTCCGACTTCGTGTAAGGAGGTATCCCATGACGTTTGTCACCTCAGAGCTCCAATTTGTTTTATTTCATTGTACCGTAATGGCTGTGCCAACTTCACGGCTCACTTTCAAGGTGTGGGGGAATCAGCATGCTGCTTAAAAACCAATTTCCTCAAAATTATTTTTGTTACGTGGCGCAATACACGTAACTATAAACACATATCTTCATCCACTGACGCCTGACTACGCGATTGCAGTTATCGACTTTGTGCACTATTATAGATGGTATTTTAGTGATTGGGGGTTCATTTACCCTACCGTTGGGGTTCGTACTGTTTGATAGATCTTCAATAGTTAAAAATTCATAATGATTACGATATGACACATTGCAACGTAGGGTTTCACTGTCACTACGATGTTTTTTGCGTTTCTAGGATCATCAGTGTTTTGGGGAGGATTCGCGCTGGTATTTACGTTATTTGTTGAATTTTCGAACGGTTGCTAGCCGTTGTAGGTAGGTGCTGGTTGTTGTGATTGAAGTTGCGGAGGGAGGCATTTGATGATTGTGGCAATCGTTGATGTTGCAGTTTGAGTTGTTGATGTCGATCTAATTAAAGATGTTGTTGCTGATGCTGTAGGTTTTGCTGGAGAAGATTATAATTGCCGCAGCTAGTTTCATTGGAATTTAATTTAATGCATTGAGTGTACTAGATATTAGTGTGCTAGTTGTCAATCTTTCAAGTTTGAAATCGCACTTGTGCGTTGTGGAGAACAGTTACTAATTAAGACGTAAACATTGTTTGCACTGAGTAATAAAGTAATGGCTATTTAACATATTGTGACATATGGCTGCTGTATGCCGCATGACGGCAGATTCGGCCGTGAGTCGCCCTTGGGTTCCTATGCGGTTTCAGTTGAAAGGTGCTCCGACGAGAAGCGAGGTTAGCGATGCAGTGAGGTTAGCTCTGCTCCACGACGAACAAGGGGCTCGCCATCGCTACGTGATACGCGTTTACGAAAATGTCTCTTAGGCCTAATGATGAAATAATGACTCCTTCACTAAGCAAAGATACGGGAAAAAACTACGTTGATGTTCATTGTTGAACCCACCCCCTCTGATGGACAGTTAAATCCAGAATAGCACCAGTTCAGTGTATTACCATTGTAATCATAATGTTAATAAGATGTTTTCATCTTATTCTTTATAAAGAAAGGATAATAAAATAAGGTAAAATAAATAAATTTTCTTTGTTACGCACTTGGCAACGTAAGGCATAAGCTCCTCGTTCTGGCTGAAGTTTCAGCAAGTGTGAAGTCTCCCATTTTTTTATTTTTCAAGCTTTGGGCTAATACTGGGGATACTGTTGTACACTACCGCTGTCATTACCCTATATTCACATGCACACATGATGTGAAGATAGCACTCATGAATATTGACTATCCAACAATTCACTAATATTATTTAAAATTTATTACTTTATGTATTTATATTTTCATTTAACAGAACTGCCATCTGGCAACATCATGGATGTTTAATATGGAGGTCATGATTCAAGAAATATCAAATAACCCGAAAGATGTCCATGAGACTTTTCGTTTGTACCTCAGTTCAATGCCTTCGAAATCTTTCCCTGTTTCTGTTCTGCAAAATTCAGTTAAAGTAACTAATGAGCCCCCCAAAGGACTTCGAGCAAATTTGAAAAGGGCATTTGCAGACATGAAAGAGGAGTTCTTCGAAGAGAATGGTACGTTAATTTTAAAGTACTTTTGAAATTATTTCATAGGAAATAAATATTTATATTATTATGCATTATTGTTTTACGAGATATATGTTCGTGTAAGACATCAGTGCTTGTAAAGGGGCGACAATGAAAGCACCCCTTTCCTGAATGTTTAAGCATGTATATTAAAGTCCTATCATTCTCGTAAACAACACCGAAAATAGTTTATTTTAGAAATCGATGTCTTAATAGTAATGTTATATGTTTAATCATGCCGACAATGCTCTCCAGGCTTCAGGAGTGTTATGATGGATCAGAGAAGCCCTGAATATGAAAAGTAGCAAGACGAAGAATTTTCATGACAAAATTAATGTTTACATTGTCGCCTACAACGTACTTACGTAGTAAAGAAAAGTATTGTAAAGCATCAGCGGAAAGTGGCAATTTTTCGTAACAGAAACTCGTAATGTGGGGTTCCTAATATCGAAAAAGTGGATAAATATTTTTCCTGTAAATTATATCCTTTAACACTCTGTGACACAAACGTATGTCTATCCGTCCATCCATTTATTTAACGTAAAAACATAGTAATAAACTAGAGAGAAATGCAATCTGGAGCACCAAGATAGAGATCTTCATGCGACGCTCGGTCGCAGGAGTTACTTCGCTCTGTAGCAGGAGATCAATGTACGGCACTTTTCGTCCGGCCGCCGTCCGTCTCTCCTTTAGGTGCAGAACGACCGAGCGTCGCCGGGAGCTCGGCCAAAGCAGCGCTGCCCGACGTTCGGACGCCGCTCCAGTATTTAAAGCCGCTAGAGTGATGGCAAAACACTTTCAATGTCTAAAACCTCTAAAAGATGGAACCCCTGTAAAATGTAAACCTGCCATCGTGAACAAAACATGTCAGGACGTAACGGTTTTGTACGTGAAAATGATCTCTGTTCGTTTGAAACCTGTCTAACGCGGAAACGGTGTCACATAACGTAAAGTAATTATTACCTAGCTAAGAAGAAAAAATATTTTAAAATTTCTGACACTATCTTCAAATGGCTTTGGACGAAGGTTCACGTTCTGAGATAATACAGTGTTTTTTTTAGATAATGTATCTACATCCTAAATTGTTTTTCAGTTTTGAAAGGACAGTGGAGAACGATTGTGTTTGGACTGTGTCTCTTCCATGCTGTTATTCAAGAACGAAAAAAATTTGGACCACTTGGGTGGAACATTACTTATGAATTCAATGACAGTGACAGAGAATGCGCTCTGACCACCTTTGAAATGTTCTGCGGTGACTCAATACCTTGGGACGCATTGGAATACATTACAGGTGACAAGTGAAGATTTGTAGTTCGGTTTGCTAGAAAATGCTGCATTTTCACAAGGTAGATTGAACATACAAAGAGAAAAATCAGAATGGAAATTAATACAGTGTTAATTCTGTTTTCCGGCTGGGGGAGCGTAGTATATTGGAAGGCATATTTGCAGTCCCGCGCTGGCTTGTTTCAGTTGACGTAGTGCCAACGCTCATTGTGCTAACTTGGCGTGTTTTATTTTTGTCCACTGGTTGACTGTGAGACGGTTCGGGCTTCACCGGAAGGACTAGATGCTATTCAGGATGAATTTTCAATTCCTCCAGAAGTTTATGGCATGTTTGTCAATTTTAAAAAATCAAAAATTTTTGTTAGTGTCTGCACCAAGCTTCCTCAAGTAAAGATAACATTCTACATGATTTTTGTCAGTATAATAAGATTCGCAGCCTCTATTTAATATAGAAGTGTCTTTATAACACACGCACAATATTATATATATATATATATATATATATATATATATATATATATATATATATAATATATTATTATAATATATAATTATTAGGATTTACTATTAATAATTCTAACTCGAATATTTCTGTTATAGGACATCACTACGACGTCGAGTAACTGATCACTGGGATCTTCGCTGCTTGAAAACAATTCTGAAAAAGTACTTCTCTGAAGAGACCTTGAAACCAGGTAATATATCAATAAACTTTCATACGGCAGATGCACTTCATGTACGGCCTTGCGAGTGGAAAAGCATTAAGTTGCCCTGAAGTACATCTGCAAAGATCCCCTGTCCCCTGTCAGGCATGTACCGTGGACCAGAATATTTTACGACCCCATTTCTTGCGAGAGACTGGATATTTGAGACGAGGGCTTCGGAATGAAGGAGACCTCCAGAGGTACGAAGGAGTGAGCTTGGAAGTGACGTTATTAGCATGTGGATATATCCCATCAGATGCTACGCAGAGATTTTCACTAAGGGAAGAATTAGTTTTTTTTCGTTAAGCGTTCCTTATGCCTTCCATCATTATATATAATGAGATAGTTTCAACTATCATTTCATCTTTTCGTAAACGAAGCTTGAAGATAATGACGAAGATAAAGTAATGTAATCGTGCACCGGAAATCCACTTTTCGACACAAAATATTTTATTGCCGGGCCCTGGTAACGAAATGGTAGATAAATTCAGTTGCTAAATATAGAAAAAAACCTCTACCACGTGGTGTAACCAAAATCCATGTTTTGTGGAGCCTTGATACCAAAAAATCGATTGACGGTAAACGTCTGTGCCTGTCCGTCCATATGTGCACAACGCTATCGCATAAACCGTTCAGCAGATTTCCCCCAAAATTGAAACTCTTCAATCGTTCTAGCTGATGTCGCGGACCCTGTAATTTGAAACCGAAATTTTTAATTTTGAGGGGTACTTTACATGAAGCCCCTGGGACATTTTCAAAATTTAAAAAAGGGCGTCAAAGTTTTCGATTAATTTTTGTTGTTGAATGGTGCAAAGGACGTTTAAGAGAATGATCCTGATCCCATTTTCGTTGACACCCCCTATTTTTCGAAAATTGAAAAAAATAAAACTTTAAAATTACAGATAGAGACTTTGGCTCAGACTAAGTCTTTGCTTTATTGCTGGTTAAAATTAATGAAATATAGTGCGATCGTGCCGGCGAGAGGTCGAGTTCGAACGGCCTGGGCTCAATCAACTGACACCCGCTCACAAGACGAAGCGCGGGGGTTAGCATCAGTGGCGTCTTCGGAAAGATCGGGTAGGGGATGCGATAAAAAGTACCTAATAATTTGTCAATTAAAAACAGGTCGCCTTCACTACTTACTGAGACTTGGTGCTCAGACGCCCTTGTATAGTTACTTGTTGATATCCAAAATTAACAAATAGAGCAAATAATAGGTAATATATTCTATTATTAAAGACCATATAGCAGGAACTCAAAATGTTGCAGTATTTGGGCACAGCAAAAGATAAACAAAATACTCACACGAGACCCTATCGTGTCTGACTGTAGCCCTCTTGTTTCCAAATCAAAATTCTTAGAGATATTAAGCTGTATCACTTTAGCCCCATCTATACATCCTATTAGACCAATAAAGTGGGGTAAAATTGATACACACTTTTCAGTTTTTTTTAAGAGTTGTAGTAGATCTTTGCAAATTTTTTCTTAGAACTGTAAAAGAAAATGGTACAAGAAGAATCGAAGATTTTAAATACAGTGTAAAAGTAGGTATTCGAAGATTCGCGAATTCGGAGGAGACCCAGGGACTCCACAGCAATAGCAGAGGATTAAAATCACTAAGGAAAGTTACACGGCGAAAAAATACAGTGAATGAAGTTATTCTGTAATTTATGATTCCACGCTTACGTCCAAAGTTCATTAAATTTGTAGATTATAAATGATGCATAAAGTTAAGCTTTTCGTTAATGAATTGACGTTTCGTATTTCACAAATCGTTTTCAGGTCATCGTTATTGTGGATCGATGTATTACATCCGCCCAGAAGCCCCTCGGTGCTTTACATTAGAGCATTACCGCAAGTTCATTGAACTACTTCCAACCCAAGATGACCCTGATGTTTTCGGAATGCATGAAAATGCGAATATTACTTTTCAGGTAATTAGATTTGAAGACGATTCACATTATGAATACACCGTAATATTTATGTGCATTTGACATCAGTACCCATTTTTCGAAACTGTAGTTAAATGTGAATTTATATGAAAGTAAGATTTTTATTCGTTTTTAATAGTTATATGTGTTTTGAAATATTTTCCTTACATGTACATATTATAAACAATGTTGTCTCCTAACGCAGTTCTGATTGTTTTGTTGCCATATCCTTCTAGTGATGATGTGTATCGATAGCTTAGTAGGTAGCATGGTGGTTTCATGAGATCTAGTGAGGCAGATTTTTCACGCGAAAATATCCACATCATGCTGTGTCCTGATTGTTGTACAAATACATAGAAGTTTAATAATCACTCTGATACTCTCGGCAACGTACACGCCACATCCAGGTTTGGGTTAACGTTGCTAAGTGAGTAAACAGCAACTAAGTCCTAGTTGGATGATCATCCGCAAAGACAATAAATAGGGACAGGCAAACTGCCGCCCGGATACGCGTCACTCGGGGTGGGAAGATAACGTCCAACCATTTTATGGTCGGTGAGACTAAATTTTAAATTAATTCATTAATTGTTTAATTAATCCAGCATATTGTTCAGCGTAAATATTCCGTTCCACTCACTTACGTTTTAATGCAATTTTGTGTAGAAAAACGAAACTGGATGGTTGCTTCAAACTCTACTGGACATCCAACCACGGGAATCTGCTGGTGGAGAGGAGAGGTCAGCAGATGAAATGGTGTACGAAATGGCAGAAATTATTCTGGGAAAGCTCGTCGAAAAAATTCATCCTGAAGAAATTCATCCTGAATTGGCAAAAGTAATCACTCATTAATAACATTCAGTCTTTGAATGTAAGGAAGTAAAGCTTACATCTTAATATGGCTTTTCATATACCCCATTTATAATATGGCCTCTCACCACGATTTGCGCGCTGCGATTCTATCGGTTGGGCGGTCTGCCGCCACCACCCAAAAATGCGCTCCCTGCAATTGAATGTGATGACCCAATTATTAGTGCCATAAATAGTTAATGCGTCATAATCTGTGCCATTAAATGACATTTTATGAACAATTTGTTGTGACAAAAAAGGTCGTTTATAATGCTAGTATACAAAATGAAATAATTATAGACGTTGTCATTGCCAACAAGATTAAAGACGTTGTCATTGCCAACAATATTACAACAATATATTGTAATATTGTTGGCAATGACAACGTCTATAATTATTTCATGAAAAATGCCAACGATAACACACTACAACACCTATGGTATACAAAAACCTTTTTATGGTACAAATGTTGTTTCTCATTTCCAGAGAGATGATCATGGTCGCGTGGCGTCGTTGACAACTGTGCTACTTCAAGAAGTGGATCGTTACAACAAACTCCTGGAAAAACTTCTTACATCTCTCGATAACTTACAAAAAGCCATAAAAGGATTAATAGTGATGTCAGAACTACTAGAACAAGTTTTTAATTCCATATATAATAACCAGGTAACAGCGCGCTTTTTTTAGAACAATCCGATTGCTTCTTGTTGTATAAATATCCTTTGATGCTGGCCTAGAGTGTTGAGATGGCTTAGACGTGTGCCGACTCGGTCTGAAGGGTCGCGGGTTCTAGTCCTACCGTGGACATAGTTCATCGTAGACTAACATCGCTCGTTGGTTAGCGTGCTCGCTTTCCACGGCGCCACGCCGGGTTCGCTTTCGGGCCGAGGTAAATTATTACTATGGACTTGCCTAAAAAAAATTGTCCAGTATCTACTGCTGTGCGACGATGAGAAAGTCCACCGAAGATTATGAAGATCAGAATATAGGGTGACGGGATGTCCTCGTACTATCCACACTATCCTTATCTCATGGCCGAAAGGCTGGGTCACCGTTCGTCGGCCAAGGCCCGTAGCGAGCAGTCGAGCCAGAGGCCAGAGCAGAGGAACATTAACGACAGTGGCGGCTCGTGGGTATTCGCACTTTCGCATGTGCACACCCAAATTAATCCGGTGCAATTTCTCTTAAATATCTGTTAACGAGAGGGGAAAACAAGTTAAGTTCCAGAAATTTCAAAATACGCGCCGTTCGGAAGCTGCGATTGACTGTCCGCGTTCCAATGCCTTTGTGAAAGTCAGTTGGAGCACACTCGGGAAATGCGCACGCCAAAAGCGCGTCGATGGCTGCCGCGGGGCGGAAGAGGCAAGAGGCAGTAGCGCGGTGGTTTAGGAGCGGATGGAGCACTGCGGCGGCGATATGAGTATTTCTGCGCCGGCGCAGTGTCGATCTCAGCAATTGCCTTGATATGACTCGACGATACAGCACTCCGCTATCACAACTTCGTAATAGAAGTGTGACATTGAACGGAGGAAGTGTGAGATATCTTTCCACTTGAAAGTGCTGTTATCCCTTGCAAAATTGCAGTTCCTCGCTAGCGCGAAAAACGCCAACGCATTGCTGTGCAGTGTCGCAATCATAAGAATGTTAATTGAATATTATGTGCACATTATCTTGTGCTTTAAAGTGTCTTTCAATTATATATCCATTCCGAAGTATAGAAAACTCAAAGTTCAAGTGTTGGTTTTTGTGACAAATGTGTTTAAGTAGCGTCGAAAACATGAAACGCTAGAATGAATGACGTTAATAAAAAAGCCACAGAAAAATTTGCTGGAAAGAAACAGCGTCGAATAGACTGTGAGTTTCGTCACACAGTGTAGGCGGCAAATTATCCAAATTTTTTTCAGTATTGAGTAGGGAAACTTGTACTTCTAGCCTCAAATTTGTACAGTGAGCTTATGGAAAATACTACAGCAAAAGTGAAAATAAAAAAAAAGTTTTGTATAAATGTGTACAATACAACTCGTTACATTGTTAGTAAAACGGTTCGGAGATCGGAAGTTCTCTTCAGGATGTGTGTATTTACTTGTAGATTTTTTTTCAATTTTGTTAGTGTAGATTTTTCTAAATTTCTTCCAATTGTAAAAAATTAGCACTAATATTGGTAAATATAAATTAAGCACTTAAGTCCAGGCTACAATCGAATCCTAGCGGTACAAATACCAACGTAAAAATTAAGCTTAAAATAATAGTAATAATTTTTATAAAAATGACATTGTTTTAATTACAGGTTCCACAGATGTGGGGAGAAGCAGCTTACCCATCTCTAAAAAGTCTCTCTAGTTGGATTTTCGATCTACAAATGAGAATTGACTTCATTTACGTAAGTTACATATATCTTTTTCAATATTTTTAAATTTTATTATTTTACATTGAAACAACTGAAAACCATGAGAAGTGTGTGTGTATATATATATATATATATATATATATATATATATATATATATATACACGTTTCATTGTATTTATATTTCTCAAACAATAAATATTCAATCAATATATATTCAATAGAAATAATGAAACAAAAATTCTTCAATTAATGTTAAGAAATTTCAAACTATTTTTTTCTTTTACAGATTTGGTTACTTAACGGAAAACCTGTGTCATTCTGGATATCTGGATTCTTTTTTCCTCAAGGATTCTTAACGGGAACACTACAAACTCACGCCAGAAAATATGGTTTGCCAATTGATGAGTTAAATTTTGAGTTCGATGTCCATAGCGTGAAGTTACGTCAAGAAAAAATATTTACTGCTCACGTCCAAAATGGCAATGAAGATGTTCGTATTTTTTTTAATTTCCTAGTTTTAACATTACACTTTCATTGTATTTTCTTTTATCCGAACTTAATCATTTCTTTTTTAATAGCCTAAGGAGTTGTATCTAGGGCTGTTTGAACCCGAAGATGGAGTATATGTGCATGGAATATTTATTGATGCAGCCAACTGGAATTCGGTGCAAAGAAAGTTGGTTGATGCTAAAGGCGGTAAGTAATTTACATAGTTTTAAGAAACCGTGTAAATATACACTTGCAGTTCATTCCTCCTTAGAGAGAGGTATAATTGAGAAATTCAAGAACGCGGCCAAAATGCAATTTTTAATATCTTCTCTCATAGTTCAAACAAAATAACTTTTACGTCTGTTCTCGTCTCATTTAACTGTAATGGCTCTAGACCAATGTGACGTTGTCTCATTGGGTAAATTTAAGACATTTCTCGTTCCTTGTTCCTCTTCCCATCTCATTCCTACCTTGCGGTACTCAGTGCCTACAAATAAACTTGCTAGATGAAGAAAATGGAACTTTCAAATGATCTCAAATGCAGAAAATGTAACTTATTTACTAATTTCATTTGGGTTTCAAATAAAGGGTTATTTGCAATAATGTATTCCGCATTTATAAAATTTTCTATTTAACTTAAACATAATTAATTGTAAAAGACTTATTTTTATGGATTTATAAACAATTCTCTAGCGTACAAGAGTAATCTACACACACACGAAGATTATCAACAAGGCTAGTCTATTGAATCGGAGGCTCCAAATTAGCTACAAAAAAATTAATATTCCATCTAGGAAAGATGTCTTTTAAGGTTCTACCTTCAAGGCCTGTTCTTCCCCTTTTTATTTTCTCGCCTTTACCAAGGTATTTCGTAAGAAGGGAAAGTTATGTAATCGTACGCAGGAAAATGGAGAATATTCAGTAAAAAAGCTCGTCGCAGGAAAATGGAGAATATTCCCTAGAAAACCAGGAGGCCCAGCCATTAAAGGATTGCAATAGGCTCATTGTTGGACCCTGGTATCGCAACGGATAAATCCTTTTGCTACATATTAAAAATCCTTCAACTCTTGTGGCCAAAATACGTTTTCTGGGTCATTGATACCAAAAAATAGATTGACGGCAAAATGTTTCAGTCTGTGGTCTACGCTAACTAATCCCAAACCGTTCAGCCTATTTTCTTCAAAATTGATATCCCTTGATTGATCTGAATTAACTCAAAACTTTGATAGTTTCTAACGGATATTTTGATTTTTGGGGGTACGTTAAAGCATTTTCAAAATTTTCTAAAAAATGACACAAAATTGTTTCATCAAACTTTCGTTTTCGGATAGCGTAATAGCAACCGATGTAATAATCTCGCTTAAGATAATAGTGCAGGTTTCATGTTCGTTGAAATTCCTGATTCGTTTAAAATGCACAGGTACATTTTTTTGGGGTGGGGAGGTCTCCTACAACTACAATATTAAAGATAAGAGATTGTTTCCTAGATGAAATCTGTTCCTGAAAGACGGATATTTCAGACAGTTCCTGTTTAATTTTTCGGAAATGTGAGTCCTTTTCGTGTAATTTGGCGCCAAAAATCTGTAATTAAAAATATTTAAAATACTGTTTTCTCAAAATCCACTCCAATTTTTTTCTTTATTTTTTTCCGCCAATAGAAGGGATGTTTAAAAGATTAAGCGCGGATCATTTTTTTGAACACACTAAATTTCCGAAAATTGCAAATTTAGAAATAATGCGGGAAGTATGCACTGAGAAGTGAATTTTCTCATCGCCACACAGTAACATACACTGGGACATTGCTAGGAAAACGCACACTATAGTCTTGGCTCGACCGGAATTTTAAGTTGTGGGCTGAGAAAACTCTGCTCTGCAATAATAACAAATTTTATTTCAGGTCAAATGCATGGATATCTCCCTGTTATGTTGATGACACCAACAGATATGAAGATAGTGGAGGAAGGGCGATATCACGCACCTCTGTACAAAACAGCACTACGAGCAGGAGTATTATCGACCACAGGACACAGCACCAATTTTGTCATAACATGTTTATTACCCTCCTATGAGGATGAAAGCTTTTGGATCTTACGAGGAACAGCTCTACTTACCCAGTTGACAGATTAATTATAAGAAAAATTGGCAAATCCTTCCTTCAAATTAGTACTAATTTTCATTATTAATTTTCACGTTTATTTATCATCGATTAAATCTATTAATGTAAACGTAAAATAGCAAATATATATAAAACAATATTAATGTAACTTTTGATTAGTAACATTTAATAAATGTAAAATGTAAATTAAACAAAATCTCAATTGTATTTTACTTTTGTAGGGATAACCAGTTTAAAATAAGGAGCGAAATTCAACTTCCGCATTAATAATGAATAAGAAACACTTCTTAACAAAAACTTTATTTTATCTGGAGGGATCTTGGTGAAGCTGATTATGGGCAAAGTTGTATCAATACACCCACTTGTCGAAAGATTTGTCCTCTGTCTTCAGGGTGACGCAGAAGGGAGTAATTACGCTTTTGAAGCGTATATTGCACCAGTCTAACAGAAGTTTTTAAAACTGTCTTCCTTCTCGAAATTCAAAGAACTGCAAAATTGGCACTGAACGCTCATTGACTCACGATTGTGACTCTTAATCTCTTTATTATGGAATGCATCATTAGTTGGAATTTATTATCGCAAATCTGAACAAGATTTATGGTGGAGAATACGTTAAGTAAGAGGGCAGGCTTCCGCGGCCGTAGTCACTAAGGTCTGTTCAGCCTAAGAATGATCCTGATGTAAACAAATACACGTGCTTAATACAGCCTCTTATTGGATGCTTGAATTTGCGGGTGTGAACGTGTAACGTTTCTCTACAGAAAATAGTTCTTGTCGGAATTATATATTTCCTTCGTTAAGTAAAAGTTTGAAAAAACAAGAAGGGATTGAGACAAAGAAAACCGATTGTAGCAGAAATCGGTTACTGTAGACAATGCTCTGAAATCCGCCGACGTCGAAGGCGTTGAGTACGTAGCGACGAAGAAACCTTATGCCCGTTGTCCGGGGCTGACAGTTTCATTGGCGGTTGACTCACAACAAAAGTTCCAAATGCAGCGTTAGTCTTGAGCAATAGAGCAGCCGTCAGTTCTCTTCGCTTAATGCGGCAAGATCGTCGTAACTTATTTTAATTATTTTAATTTTTCTACGTACTTATCATTTTATAATTGCGGATGCTCTGGCAGGACAGTGTTTTACAAAACATATGAGAGGTAACTCATTCATACAGGTTGAAAAATATGTAGTTTTAAGTTTCTCGTGTGACTGAAGAAAATCTGTCATTGACTATTAAACAGATTGCCGAACGCACATCATGGACCACGGGAGTGTCTTCGTCAAGTGTAATGAACGCAAGAAGAGAGGTGAGTACACACAGAAAACTTGTCACATCACGGAAAGAAAGATTTTGGATATTTTTCATCGACGCTTACAGACATGTTCACTCATGAGAAACCTCATCCAATCTGTATATGGTCTCAGATCCCTTTTCAAGGCAAAGTTGTCGGTACATGATATAAGTTGCTTCATGATATAACATTATTTTTAATCGTTTGCGATGAGGATTTTGCTTACCTATGTGAAAGTAAATAGCTGAAGCGTTCTTTAATATTTTGGAATACTATTTTACGGATTACAGGGAGAAATGGACGGGAATTGGTGTAATGAGAAGTTCATTATGTAACCGCGCATTCGGAATGTACCAGGGAGATTTTGTGATGATGTGTAGGAACTATTTTTAAAAATTTGGATTTTGTTGATGTTTTTTTTGGCTGCGGCAGCCCAGATATTGGAAGCATAGGAAAGCATGGGTCGTATCTTTACTTTATAGAGGCCAATAACCACATGTAGCTGTAGGGGGGGGGTTGAGAATCGGATATAATTGATGAGCTCTACTAGTCGCTAACGCTATTCGGTGTTTTATATTTTGCCGCCGTGTAAGCCTTTTATCAAGCAGAACTCCAAGATATTTGACGGGTTTGTGGAGAGGGAGCCAGGCTTTGTTTTGTGATTAATATGTGAGAATCGGGGGAATTCTCGTCTACGAAGGGTAAATATTTTTGCTTGGCTTTTATTAGGATTTATTTTAATGTGCCATTTTTGATCCAGTTGAAAAATAATGTGAGGTGATGTTGCATATCATTCACGGCAGATTGAAAATTGCATTTAGAGGAATAAAGTACAGTATCATCAGCAAATAGAGCTTTTGCAGAATTTTGGGTAATTGATATATCCGAAGTGTAGACATTAATAAAGTGGGGGAAAGTTTGCATTCTTAGGGTACTCCTGTTTTGATGGTGAAAGGTGTGAGGAGAGCTACAGAAAATGTTTAGTTAGTAAGGAAACTTTCAATGATGCGAAAAAGATGTATTACCTACGGAGTTCGAAAATTAACCCTGAGTGCCAGACGGTATCGAAATCTTTAGCTACATCTAGAAAAACTGCTGCGGTATGCTTACGGTTATGAAATCCTTCCATGATATATTCAGTTAAGCGTAAGATTTGATGATACGTGGAAAAAAGGTGTTGGAATCCAAACTGGTGAGGTGGTATGGCATTGACTGCGCTGATATGAATTTAGCCTAGAGAGTATACATTTTGCCAATAGCTTTCCCATTTTGGGTAGCAAACTAATCGGGCGATAGCTAGTTGGATGATTTTGAGCTTTCCCTGGCTTTAGAATGGGAATATTGTGGGCGTGTTTCCATTTACCAGGGAAGTCATTTGTCTCAAAGCGGCATTAAATATTGCTGTAATATGTACGATTACTTTTATGGGAAGGCGTTTTAATAAAAAAGTTGATATTCGATCATGGCCATTTGATCATTTCGGGGTTGCCAGTGAAAAATAAGTGATGATATCTGATGGTAAAATAAATTTAGGGCATTCAGGAACTTTTATTTTTGGTCGTGGAATTTCTTCTTCAATATGATTATTATGGTGTCAATCTTAAGAAGGGTTAAAACCAAAGGTTGATGCAGAATAATTCCCCAGCGTGTTGCACTTATTGGAAGGAGAAGATGCTTCTCCAGTTGGAGTAACAATGGTGGGTATATTAGTGGGTTTGCGCAGAAGACGTCTGGTTATATTCCAGAGTGTATGATCAGATGTGTTTGAGTTTGAAGATGAATCTTTTGCGCGTGGACAGACGCCAAAAGTTGTCTCACAATTTTAGTCAGGAGGTTTAAATAAGATTATAGAAGAGGAGATCGTTGTCTCGCCCAGTGGTTACTAATTTATAATCGATCAGTTTCTGCACTATAGGTGGTATTGCTGGAAGCAAAGTGCGTTGATAAGCTGTCGGAGCCGTTAAGTCGAGGGGATCTAATATACAAGAATTATGAATGGCAGTGGAGGTAGAAGATGTGTAACTAGGATCTGATAATATGGCCAGTTGACATTACGTAAATGATAAGGCTGAGCGGGGCAAATTTCTTCTGGGGTTGTGTCGAGTGAGAACACTATGGGGCGATGATAGGATTGCAAGGCGATATGAGTCAATGTTACAACTAAAGTTGTTAGAAACGTCGAAATCTAGTATATCAGCTAGCACTGACGTGCGGTAGGGATAAATTTGATTTGGCAGCGATAAATGGCAGCTGGCAAGAGCATGTGGCATGTCCAACTAGCTAGCCCGGACCAAAGAAAATATAAAGCTAATACGAGAAAGTCTTTACCATTCTGTAGCACCATTAGTTTTTCAAAAATGACTTCATTTGAATAACTGTTTCTTTACCCACTTTCTGAACAGTTAATAAAGTTCATATTTTTATAAAGTTTACAGAAATGTTGGGGATGAAGTTATATTTGTTTTTTAAACATTTCATTCATTTTTTAAGTCGAAATAAAAGTGAGAGTTCATATTAACACATTCTTATCTATAAATAAAACTATAAATACTTTAGATCTTGCGAAAAAAAGATTTCTTTTTAATTAAAATAATTTATTAATGTATATTTTAAAATGTGTACCCTACGGTTATGTATAAACGTGTGATGATAATAAATAATAATAATTTTCGGTTTATGATTCACTGAGAAAAATACACCGCTGTATTTTAAATTCAGACCGTTTAAGTTACGAGTATCATCACCTTTGTGTTCAACTATTCTAATTAATAACTTTCAATAATAATCAATTAAATAATTAACAAAATTGAAAGCATTGTATACAATTGCAACACAATTAACTTAAAGCATTAATATAAACGAATATTTTCGTGTTTATAATAGCGCTTAAATTTGCTCGCCCCCCATAAAAGATCTGAAATCCCGCCTATGGTAATAATTGACCATAATTAAAAACAAACCCAAACATAGAACTAGAAATTCGGGATCGCTGTTTTTAATCCAGAAGAAACCAAGAGCCCCTAAAGTAAACGTAGATTCGCAGTAAATAAATATAAAAAATACCTGACATTAGTAGCAGGTCCGTTGTAATCCCTTATTAATTAAAAATATTTCATGAATGTTGTTATGTTTCTTATAACAGTGAGAAATGGAAGTTACAACGACACGTATGCGCTCGTTTTCTTGAGCCCCGGAACACGTACCCCCCCTCCTTTACTAATATAGTTGAATTAAGAATAAATGATAGAAACGAGCGTTGTTGACAAAATCTGATAATCAGACGTGTTCGCTCCCGTGTAATGGATGTTATTTTGAATCGCAAAACGAGCTACAGATTTGGTATAATAGTTCTGTTCACGAAATAACCAACCACACCAATCCTCTTGCATCTAGCTAATTGAGGGCTTAAGAAAACGTGCAAGAATAATATCAAGTCTAACGCGAACATTCCGCTCTTTGCAAATCATCACTTTACAATTGAAATAGCTTCATGTTGGTACCCAATTACGAGCGTTCAGGTCTTGAACTGTGCATTACCTACGTCGCACAACCACAACACTGTGCAAGGTATGCAGGGTTGCCAGATGTGTTCCAAGCCCACCTTTCCCCACCACTACTACGAAAGTTCCTCAAATAATCTCTCCAATGAAACAAAGTTCTCCAACTTTCAAAGTAAAAATATTCTCCAAATTATGACAAACGTCATGAATTGCCCCTGACGATTCAATTAGCTGTCCCCTTAAGTTCAAATAATTCAAATGAACCAATCTTCGAATCTATACTATATTCTATCTATCGGCTATACCATCATTCTTCTCGAGTGTTTTTCTTTCTCTATGCCTGTCATTTAATTTTCTCTTTTTGATACATAAAAATAAGAGAGAATGAC